ACATCAGTGCTAAGAAGCGACACCGCGGTCGAACAACCACGGCTCAATACGGATTAATACTATTCATATACTGGGCATATATATTGATGTTGAATACCTCTGGTCCCACACTACTAAATTTATCCCAAACTTGAAGATCGCGGTTTCTATTTGACTGACAAATTGCATTTTACTGACTTCCACCCCCAGGTCCTTGTCTGAAATCAGTTTTGTTTAAATTCACCCGGTAGGGAAAGAGCCAGAACCGCGTGAAAAGGAAAACCCAGCGGGATATCCGTTCGAAAGACTGTTGTAAACCGGAACGCCATTTTTGTGATCCGTTATCACACACACACACAGTTATGAAGTATATACAAGCACGAACTGCATATCATTGACTAGACTGTGGGCAAACGCTATTTACGCCCATTCGCTTTTTACGGTCATAGGCGGATCGATTTCAACCAAGTCAGTGAAAAAAATCAATTCATTTTAGATTTCAAAGAGGGATTTTGTCTTGCATATATTGCAGATGAAGCGTGAACTGAACCGGCGGCCCAATGGATAGCATGCTAGCTTTCTGCTTGTGAGGTCCCGAGTTCGATTCCCTGTTTGGTCGATGGATTTGCAATGCTGATGAGATCCAACCAGATCAAAACAGTGCATCCTAGGTTTTCAGCTCACGCTTCATTTAAATTCAACACGACAAAATCCCCCCTTGGAAATCAAACTCAATCTTCCATTACTCTTATGCATCACTTGTGATTAAGTTTGGAACCAGTGAACCTAACTTCGGCTCCTCGAATGGTATTTTAAAATGTGAGGACACTTCATTTGGTTTATTCAGCTGCAAATTACACAAATTCTGTGACACCAACAGAAAAAAGTAACCCACTAGACTTCCTATTCACTCTGATCCAAATGTGTCTTCTTTCCTGAATATCCTCCAGGTGAACACAGGAATCTAAGATCGAATTATTATTTCATTGTGATCTGGGCCCACAAAATGAGCTACCCGTTACAGTTTTAGGATAACTGTGAGCAAGCAAACTTCACGGTTGACTTCAGCAAAGCGCGTACTTGTTACTGCTTATGGACTACATACCATAGGTAGATTTGACCAGCCAATCAGAAACAGTGCGGTCCAGACAGAAGTTGAACAACGCCAGAAATACTAGCATGGGATTGGTATGAAGCCTGGATGATCAATGAGCATGTTTCGTGCATATTATTTAATCTACCTTATTTTTTTCGATAAACGAAGTGCTACTCCTGTGGTCTTTTCCTCGCGTCTTGGTTACGTGGGGTGTTGCGTGCAAGTGTCAATGTGGTCCAGTGCCTCTACATTTCGGTTAAATATCATACACACCAACCGGCACAAAAAACATATGCAACGGGGAAAAATGTGTACAGACAGAAAGATATTTCAAAATCCAAGGTTAAGACGAAATTCACTTATTGCCCTCTATTTGTTTGTAAATAAACGTGCTATACAGAGTACAGGTGAATTTCGGTAATTCCTTAGACCATATGACATTTGGCGGGTTTGGGATTGTGTGGAGAGATAAAAACAACGCGCACGCGTCAGTTCTGCGTGTAGTGGGGTGGTCAGAGTCTGTGAGAATCCTCTGCATTAATTTCATATGATAATCTGTATGATACTCTGAAGACAGTGAAAAACTATAATAACATTATACACATTTAAATAATTATAATAATCCGAGTCATCATCATCATCATAATCATCATGCCATAGGAATTCGCAGCTTCGTTCTTTGTAGTGGTGGTGGTCCGATGGTAACGTCACCAAATTATCACTTCGGGGGACGTGTGTTCGAACCCCACCATCACCGCCTGACTTTCCCCGTGGCAGCCCCGTTTGATTGGCGGCTTCCTCCTTCCTGAAAATTGTATCATTGTGTATTCAATAAAAGGGAAGTAAAATATTAAGAAGAAAAGAAAAGAAAAAGATTGCCAATGTGTCAGAGCTTTTCTGTGTTCCAGTCAAACGCTCGATTGAGACGTGCTCTCAACGCAGTAGTCTCAGAGGTCTATCCGTGTTCTGTCGTCTGTTTTAGACTTCATTCAAAATAACTTCCCCCTATGGTTTACAAGTCACAAATTTTGAGTTATTGATTTCACTGAATTTATCAATCATCCTACATCATCATGCGTCGGTGATCCGGGCCTACGCAATGACACACCCCGGAGCGATGCGTTGCAGTTTTAAGACAACTGCGATCAAACTTCACGGGTGACATCAACAACGTGCGTACGTATAACTGCTTCCGACTACATACCATTGGTAGATCGTGACAGCCAATCAGGGACACTGCAGTCCAGATGGGAACAGAACGATGCCAGCAATACTGGAACGCTATTGGTAGAAGCGTGAATAACCAATGAGCTTGTTTTGTACATATTATGTAATCCCCTTCACTTCTTTCAATAAACGAACTACTACTGCTGTGGCGTTTTCCTGGTGTCTCAGTTACGTGGTATATTGCGTGCTAGTGCCAGAGTGGTCCAGTGCTTACGTGACATTCGTGATTGCTAACCAGTTATTCGTATTGAGTGGTTTGTATTCCGAGTTGAGTGTGTGATACGACTACTAGTACTACAACCGTTACGGATCACTTGTACCAAATGAAAGCGGGGCAAATTACTCGAACCGGGATGGTCGGTTTGATAGAGCTGGTAATAGTGAAACAGACAATCAAGTGAAATATGGTTCGCGAACTCCGTCTCTTTTGTGCCAATCCGAATATGATCATACAGTTGACAATCGGCACGGTAGTTGTAACGAACGATGGCAGATATTTATCTGGATGAGCAACACCAATGGGTGATCCACAACCGTCAGGCCTGTTTTCTCTCAGTGAGTGAAGCTCAACTAGGATGAAGCATTCTCGATCTGCGATTCGCTCAACAAATCAATACATTCCAAGTGGATTCAACACAGATTTGTTGCAGTATGAAAAAGAAACAGATCCAAAAGTGGAATTGTTAGAGTGAACAAGGGAGCACAATTCAAATCACATTGCTCATTGACTGGGCATAAGAATGCCGTTAATCACATGGAAGTAAACAAACGCAATGAAAATGGAACAATGAGTATGCATCGGTCAACAATTCCATGTTTCTCGTACCAAAATCGGCTAGGGATGCGGTAGGATTCACGTCAGTCATCTACCGTAGAGGATCAGCACATTTGTGTGATGTCACA